TCATAATATCAGGTACATAATTATGCAGTGTCTCAAATATGAATTTCTTTCAAAGTTATGAACAGTATTGTTGTGCATCATAAAATGCCTTATCTAATTTATAATACCAAATATTGCTCAGGCTGACGAAGCTCCTCCCACATTCACTTATGTGCAACCTTGAATATCCCTCTGTAGCATTGTCTGAAAGGATGCCCCCAGCCCATTCCAACATTTTCGAGTAACATCTTTCAGTGTGATATGGTGTTAATTTTCTATTCCCTCCATCAAGATGATGTATTATAATTTGCAAAAAATTATAATAAAATGGCAGATTGAAAAAAATAAAATCTTTGTGATCTTCGAGGGGAATTTTTTTTTTTTTTTGCTAAAAGCTTAAATCTACTGCCATTCTTTTTCAATAACACCAAATTATCTAAAACGTCACAAGCATGGATGCGCATGCATTATGGCGTCATGCAGAGACAGAATGCGCTAGGTTTCGCGTTGCGTGTATGGTGATTACTTTGTTTACCGTACTTATATTAGTGTTCTATTCAATCACTTGCGAATATCATCGGTATAATTATTGAGTTCTTATACTTAGTATTCGAATTTGCTTTGTTTGCTTTGAATAAAAATGGGGTGCATACGTAGCAAACCAGTTCATCGTCAGGATGAAAAAGAGGACGGGTACGTCTTCGACGAAATTGATGAATCTTCAAAATTTAAGCTGGACATCGTCGAAGAGATTAAATCTTTCGAAAAGATTGGAGACGGTATGAAATGCAACTTGACAATTTGAAGTTCATGATATATAGATATATAAACAATTACTGAATTACAGTTTAGTACAAATGGGTAAGGGTGGGTTAGTCAAAGAGAGAGAGAGAGAGAGAGAGAGAGAGAGAGAGAGAGAGAGAAAGAGAGAGTAAGGGGAGAGAGAAATAGAGAGAGAGGGAAAGAGAGAGAGCCGGGAGGAAGAAAGGAGGGGGCATTGCCAATATTCGTTTCTAACTTTGATATCCACTAACAAGAAAAGGGTTGTTTCTTCAAAAAGTATATAGCAATCAGCATAGTATTTTTTCACCAATTTCCACAAACAGAATTGGCGAAAGTACTATTCATATTGCACGGACTAGCTATAATTTTTTTACCCCTTTTTTAAAATTTATTTGTTACAGATACTTTTAAGACCAATCGACTTCTAAAAAGTGATTGACTAGATTACTTATTTGGTATTAGTAGGACAAAATGATGTCAGCAAGTACAGTACGAGAATCCCCATGGACTTCGCTTTTACTTTTGTTTCAAAAATATGTATACATGGGTTATAAAGGTTTCTAAACTGATAACTTTAAACAATACATTTATGTTACAACCTGCTTAATAATTATGTAAGAAGATTTGAATTTGTTTTTCTTTTCAAGGAGACGCCGTTGCGGCCTCAGATTTGGGGGCCGAACGGACAGAGAGTTGTGGTGACGACAGCACTGCGGAGAAATCAGTTGATGATTATGCTCTGGCAAAGAGAATGCAACTTCTGAGGGTATGTTACCTTTATCCCCTTCTCTAATCTCTTGTTCTTTATTTCTCCATCTCTGTTCCTGTCACTATCCATCTTTTCCCCTCCTCTTTCTATCTAATATGCAGAAAGCATTCTGCATATTACTCTCTCTCTCTCTGTCTTTGCTCTCTGCATGTCTTCTCTTTCTTACCTCTTCCTTCTTTGGCGCTCCCTTTCTTTCTCTTTACTCTATTTTTCAACTTGTTTTCCTCTCTCCCACTCTTCATTTCTGCCATTTTTATATATGATTTTATTTGGTGGTGAGACGTCAAGACAGCGGGCTTATTTTAATTATGTTTCGAAGACATCATTTTAGCCCATTTTAACAAATCTGAAGTAGAGAAAAAATGGAGATGATACTGATTAAAAAGATGATTAAGTAAACACCGTGAAAAACCGCCCTCTCATATCTCACAGACTTATGCAAATCGTAAGAAGAATCGTACGTAAGTTAAATAAAGAAAATTTTAAATGATCAAGTGCTCGTATGGCTAATTTTGTTGAATAATCTTAATAAGTTATCATCACCTTTCAAATATGTTATTCCACAGGATATCACAGAACTTCAGATGACACAGCTTAGACTGGCACGTGACAGGTTTCACCGGTCCATCATCCAAAGGGATGCCAGGAGAGTGGTTGCATCGCTGAAGAGCCATCCATTCTACGATGAAGAGTCTGAAAACATCCAGACTAATGGCGAGATGACTTTGACGGGGAATGACACTGCCGAGCTACAGGAAACCGAATCAAAGGACAAATCGCCTGCAAAGAAAGTTTCAGTCTGGCTTCTTGACGTCGTTCTCAACAACATCGAGTATGACGCTCATACGGTCGAGGATGAGCAAGATCAGGAGCTAGAGCAGGAGGAGGAGCAAGAGGATTTAAAGAAAGAAGATGACGACGAAGAGGAGGAGGAGGAGGAGAAGGAAAAAAGGAAGACGAGGAGGAGGAGACGGAGGAGGAAGAAGAGGAGAGGAATGAAGAGGAGGAAGGCGAGGAGAAGAATAATGACAAAAGAAAGGACGAGGAGAAGAAGGACGAGGAGAAGGACGACGTGGAGAATGAGGAGGAGAAGGACGAGGAGGAGATGAAAGAGGAGGAGAAGAATGAGGAGGAGGAGAAGGAGGAAGAGGAGGAGGAAGAGGAGGAGGAGGAGGAGGACGAGGAGTTTGAAGGTGACGACAATGATACACAACTGCCAGATTTTGGATACTTCCAGGTTTGTTCTTTATCCTGTCCCCTCGCAAACTCAAACTTCGTTTCTTAAAGAAATCTTTTGATTAGAAAAGTAAATTGAACCTGATAATTATGTTCGAGGAGTGTTTAAATAATAATCGTTAAACCTGTTTTGGGATTGTGAAATTAAGTTATATATATATAAAATGACAATCACACTAAAGTTCACAAAATAGAAATGAATATTCACAGAGAAAAGTGTATAGTACAGGCAGTTCTGGCGGGATCAAATTTTTCGAAATAATTTTACTAGTAAAACATAATTTTGGCATTTTAATTAAAATATTCAGTTAAACAAATTGGATACTTTTCTTTCACGAAATATGAAAGTCTTTGCTTTTTACTATAATAATTATCAACCTTCCTTTTGTATGTGTTCGTTTATCAAATCAGTTCAAAAGATTAGACAAAACCAGAATGACCACCCGAAGACATAGCAGGTTGCCGCCATCATCGAGTGCTATTATTGACCAACCCATCGAAAACGAAAGGATACTTTTGGATGACTATAACAACCTTGACGCACCACACCAAGTTTATTCCCATGATATGATAACAGACTTGAATCAATCACAACCAAACGATGAAGAAAGCAGTATTGATGAGGACAGGGAAAAGAGGAGGCTACAATGGTTGGCGAATAGGAAATCAAATTTTCCTTCTGTCCATGTCCAACAAAAACTTCATACAGATTCACAGCCAAGAGAGATCGACATCGATTCAGAAGTGGCAAGGAAAAAATTCCCGTGGATGCGCTAAAGCTAAGGGGGCTGGTCAGACATGGACATGCCATACAATGAAGGACAGAAGTTAAAATGGTCACCGTGGTCATTAATGCATTGATGAAAATGAACACTAGATTGTGGAGGGAGACAGAGAGAGAGAGAGGGGGGGGGGTGGAAGAATGGAAAAAATAAGCATATACCAAAAGTAAATAAATCATTTGGCATATTCGATGCAACCGACTACTATTTCAAAAACCTGTCTTTTTGTATTGTTGTCAGTAAAGAGAGCAAAATAATAAAGCGGAGTCTACATAGCCTGTTCTTTTGTCATTTTCGGTTGGCTATATCGAGTTACTGTTATCATGAACTGAATATCCAAAATGAGTAACGTCGTCAAAGGAATGTATTACCAATTAGAGACAAAAATATTTCATATTTTATTATCTTGTGTTGGTTACAAACGAAAGTATAAGCACACGAGATTGAGTATAATTATCTTTCTCATCTATAACTCAATAAAGATCGCCGTGGTGGTTGTAGTGAAGGTGATGGAGATCGATATTATGATAATTATGATGATAATGATGATGATTATCGATATGATGATGATGGTGTCATGGTGATGATTATAGTTCTTGTGGTGGCAGTTGTGATGGTGATTTTTGTTTTTACATTAAAAAAAAAAAACTTTTAATACCAATCGACCTCTGAAAACTGATTGACTAGATAATTCATTTGGAATTAGTAAGACAAAATAATGTCAGCAGGTACAGTACGAAAATCTCATGGATTTCTCTTTTACTTTCTTTGTTTTAATCTTCTGTAGTGAATTTGGAATTAGGGTGACACAAAACTTTCTATTTCTCAAAAGGGTGTCGTGACTTTATAGAAAGGTTGAAAAACGCTAAGCTAAGTCGTAGCAAAGATGGACCATTTTACAATAATTACAAGAGGTGACATCTAAATAAACATTATCAAAGCATGATGAATCGTAATTAACTTTTTTTATTCTTCAATTCTTCAATTTTTCCATATTTTTCTCTGAGAAAGAGAGAGAGAGAGAGATGGGAAGATAAAGACATATATACATCGAAATTAAGACAGAGAGAATTATGAAAGGCATTAGATATGAGTGAAGAAGAGAACAAAATAGGAAGATTTAAAAAGAGATCGAGAGAGAGAGAGGGAGAGAGAGAGAGGGGGAGGGAGATAGAGAGAGAGAGAGAGAGAGAGAGAGAGAGGCAGGCGGGGGGGGGGGGGAAGCTGGCAGAACTTGGTAGTAAATGGAGGGGGCTATAGCCCTATACATACAAAGCAGATCTGTTTTTGTCATTCGTTATTGTTTTGTTTTGTTTTGTCTTCGTCATTTTATAGTAACCATTCAATTTGTGAAAAGTATATTGAAAAACAAACAAAAACGATAAGCATATTTACGTTCTGTGCTCAGAAAGGGGTGGGGTCAATCATAGAGTGGAATCGGAGCAAATCGGAGCATTGGAGCAAGATGGCGCACGTCACTGGTGACTGGAATCCCCTCGGCGATGTATTTTATCGGTAAATTTGGTGAAATATTCTTAATCTGTTTGTTCAAATGATTCCTTTGACTCGTTACCTTTTTTCTTTAGGCTTGATAACAATTTATGTAAGTACTTACCGCCTTAAATGATTGTTCAGTTTTACTTCAGTCCCACACTATGTTTTTGGTGGTGTATTTTGCCGTCGACCATCTTCAATTAAGTTGCACGCATTGACATTGTTGCTGTTGTTGTTTTATGTCATTGTTTGCATTGAATGCTATTTGTTGTTGCTCCTGTTATCATTAACTCATCATCATTTTTTGTTTTGCTATTTAACTTTTGAGGATCGTCTGCACAATTGAGGATATCCTCGTAAACGCAGACAAATTACAAAATAAGGATCGTCTGCATTCTGCAATTTTTTTTTTCATCGACGCTCTGGGGTTTTGGGTTCCGAACCGTGTGCGATGCGTAAAACAAATAAAATACCCCCAGTTCACCGTCTACTTTTATGGGTTGTCCGTCTTCCTGAGGATTTATCTCTCATAACGTGAAATTCTGTGTACAAAGTCAATGTGAAATGCATCAAAAAAATCATCGCGGAATCCGTTTTTCGCATCGCCATCACGCGGATCGGATATAAGAAAGGTCTGGGGAAAAGCGGATGATCATTATTTTTTGTAGACGCGTCTGTCCGCGTTTACGAAGACGATCTTTATTCTAGGACCAGCGCTCCTAGATACTGCCATTGGCAATTAACTTATAATAATAAATAATAAATGTTTTGATATAGATCTATATCAACCTGATCAAGAGCTTGGTAGAGATAGTCGGTGCTTGCAGTGTTAGGAAAGATACACAAGTTGTACATGACTATTTATCAAAAGGATATATTTCTTTCTGCATATTGAAAAATAACAATATTGGCTAGCAGTCAATATTCTCTAATCAACGTGACTATGACTATGATGTTATCATCCATTGCTTGTAGGAAAGTGGAACTGTATTCTATGGACAGACTATGGCAGGAGGTGGCTGACCTTAGGAAATTTAAGGTTGCCGTTGCTCCGTTTGGAGGACCGATTGGTGAGAATTATTCAGCAGAACTAAAAATGTCATGAGTAAGGTAGAATATGTAGTTTTAGGAAGGCAAAGGAAATTTACTGTAAGACACTTTGTCAATAGCTATGTGGGGGTTATGGTGAATAAAGAGTCACTTGTAGCTTGTGATTAAGTAAATATAATGCACATAAACATCTATAGTAATAGGGCATCTCAAAATGAAAATAAAGGATGACAGTTTAAAATCCCACCAGCACATTGTCATGTTCAGTGACCAACTACAATACAAATTATAGAAAAATGGCATTTGAAACATCTTGTTGTGTCTTCTGGAGAGTTGATTAATTGCCCGAAGGAGAAAGTTATCAATCATCATTATCAAGAAGTAATTATCCTAGCATATTCATGGGCAGTGTCCCTCAGAGTGTAGTTTCCCTTCCATCTTGCTCTGTATGTGGTATGCGACATATACATTTCCCTGAGAGTATTGGTAATTTTCCAGCATCATTGTTGCTTTCATTCTAGCTCTGATGAGAGATAGTAACAAGATCACCCAGGTCAGGGGTTCTTCGCACATAGTCATTTTTATCTTCTCAGCTGCAGGAAAAGAAATCTCAAGAATCAATGTAAGTTACAAAGAAAGAAAGTAGATTATCAAATAATTTGTAATGATGAGGTTTACAGGGTGGTTTTATTTCTTCCGAAACTGCTGCAAAGATGTTTCCATTAGTATTATAGAAAAAATATAAATATTTCAATTTCAGATCAAATTGAGCGGCAAAATTGATTACATTCAGGAATGAGTCTTTGTTAGACGCTTGGAAAGTAATTCTCCACTAACATAGTATTAAGACTGTCTTTCAGTATTTCATTACAATGCCAACCTTAAATTTGAACATTGTGAGTTTGGAAAAACCACCAACATGATGTTGAGGTTTGTCAAGAGCAGCTTTTGTCCATAAATCATGCATAAAGGTTAATCTTATAATGGAAGCTGGGATTAGGTAAATCAATAATGATAAATCAAAATCGATATCGAATAGAAAAATAATAAACGTGACATTGTTGAGCAAGAAAAGACATAATTATGTTTGTTCATAATAAATAATAATAATAAGAAATTTGTATTTGTAATAAGATATTTTTATTTGTATTTGTGACCCATCATTTCAAGATCATTTTTTTTTCTGTATTTGATTGATTTTGACAGTGGGACAGCGGTAATGTGATCCATATCGGTTGGTCTTTATCAGAAGACCTTCTCTGTATCCAGGACGACGGCACGGTCCTGGTCTACAACATCTTTGGCAAATACCAGCGTAACTTTAACATGGGACAGGTAAGCTACCGTGATATCTGCTGAAGGGGAACAAAGCATTCTCTATACTCAGGGGCGGGTTCCTAGAAACCGTCATAAGTCTAACTTCTTGACTATCCCATTGAAACCCGTGTTAATTCTATAACACACGTTTCAATGGGATAGTCAAGAAGTTAGACTTATGACGGCTTCTAGGAACCCGCCCCTGGTGGTCTTTATATAAAGGTTTATTTTGATAAGATTAGATTTCATTGTATTGAGAAATACTACCAAAGAAAAGTGTGAAATTGCATGGTGTAAAGAGAGCCCATCTTTCTGATTGAAAGTCTCTAACACTGGTTTGACTGTAAGATTGATTTTTCTATATCTTCACCATGCTTGTGTATTATGTTGAAGTTGAATAACTGGAATATTAGGTTTCCTCTGAAAATAATGCTCATGATATATATCTGAAAATGTTAAAAGACACTTGGAGGGACAAAAAGTAGTCAGACAGTCCTGTGTGGTACGGGTAAACAGGTTGCTACTAAGGCAGGGTTGAACAACAAAGAGTTCCCCATGGGAAACAGGAGCTTGACACTTGAATGATAAATATTTGAATTGGTAAAAGCACTTGTGTGGCGAAAAGAAAAAATGGTCTTTGTAAACTATTGGCCATAAAATGTAAGTTTTAAACGGATGGTAGCCTAACTCATAAGATCATGGCAATTGTATGTTTGTATTTAAATGCATTTTAAAAGCACTTCTTTTGAGAACAATACGGCCAGCACTTGCTGCGATGAACATATCGAATAGATCAAACCATTCATTCAATAATTGAATTGAAAATCAGTTACGCTTCCATAATACGAACAACTAAACATTATTGTTATTGTATGTTTTTTCAAGGTTAGGCATAATGTTTTTGGGTTGTCCGTCCGTCCGTCCGTACGTATGTACGTACGTCCGTATGTCTCAAGAACCAATTGATGGATTCCCGTCATACTTTGGTCATGTATGTATCTGGCAGAGCCAATGAACTGATTAGATTTTGGGGTCGCGAGATCCAAGGTCAAAGGTCATAGGACTCATTATGTATCCAAAATAGCGTGTGATTGCGTTATCTCAAGAACCCATTCATGGATTCCCGCCAAACTTAGGTCATGTATGTATCTTGCAGAGCTAATGAACTGAATAGATTTTGGGGTCACGAGATCCAAAGTCAAAGGTCACAGGGCTCATTTTGTATTCAAAAATAGCTTGTGATCGCTTTATCTCAAGAACCCATTGATGGATTCCCGCTAAACTTGGGTCATGTATTTGTCTTGCAGAGCCAATGAACTGATTAGATTTTGGGGTAACGAGGTCAAATATCAATGATCACAGGGCTCATTATGTTTTATTTTTATTTGCTGTTCATCCTCAGGAATCGAGAGAATCCAAGGTCATTGAATCCAAAGTGTTCCATAACACATCGTATGGTGGCACTGGTGTTGCTGTCCTGACAGGAACCTACAGGATCTATGTAGTGAATGATGTACATAACCCTGCGAGCAGGAAGATGATGGAAGTACCAGGTCAGTGTGCAAGGGTCGTAGGGCACATCATCTAATGACAATAGGCCATTTTTGTGATGTAATCAAATGTATGCATATGCCTTTGTTAAGAACTTTTGATAAAAATTATTTAATTCACCTGTTACGAATAAATGTATCTCAATATGTTGAGAACAAGGTATAAGCATTTGTTCCCATGCATAGGATAATCCAAATATGAAGATTGTTTTCCTAAATGAATGGTGGAAGCTTCTATTCTTTTCCAAAGTGCTTCATTCTTTGTTAATTCAAACCCTCTATTCTCTCAGTTCAAACTTGACATCTTTCAGTTTATGGGATATTACTTTGCCAAAGCGACCAAAGATTGATTGTAAGTGATTTAAATAATCATCCATCATGATGTGTTATCCAGGACTCGATGCACCACCCAGCAGCTGGTGTGTGATAGGGGGCGACAGACAGAACCACATCCTCCTGGCGAGAGACAAGCGCCTTTACAAGTTAGACCGTAGCGACATGCAGCAGGAGATACTTGAAACCAAGACCAAAGAAGTGAATGCTTTTATTGAGATGGCCGTGTCCTTTGACAATCGTTTCCTAGCACTCTTCAGTGATACAGGCCTACTGTGGATCGGGTCATCTGATTTACAGGTAAATATAGAGGCAATAATTTATTCAATTCTATTGAATTGAATTCATTTCATTTATTTCATTCTCGATTGAAAAATACAATCAATATGAATACAAATATATCCTACACAGCATTTGAAAATGAAAAGGGGAACTACATAAATATATCCCTTAGGCTTTGTACAATCGTAGTACAATCGTAGTTTATTGAATAATGATATGTAATTGATATTTGTTTGGTATAGCACATACCACACCTAAGACAATTTTCTATGCCCATGCACTTTGGTGGTTAATGCGTGTTATGAAACTTTGGCTTATCGGTGCACATTTTTTCTCAATAAGTATTCAGGTGGGTATTTATTTTACCTGGAAAATGCAAAACAACAGTAAAGAAATGCCTCATCTCAGACCCTATTTCTAAGCTAGGGCTTATGTGTTACATTGATTAAGAAAATTAATAGATCTGGGGATTGTTTCACAAAGACTTAGATCTACTTTAAGTTGGACTTATCTATGGCAGGCTGCTCATGCCACTTTTTGCTCTCACCATTATGATATTTAGATAATATTTTTTCCTTCAATAACGAAATATCAAAAAATGTAAATTTGTTAGATTCGTGACCACGATTTGTACGTCCCTTGAGAGACCAATGCCAGTAAATGGTGAGAGCAAACAGTGGCATGATGACCTGCCATAGTTAAGTCCAACTCAAAGTCAACCTTAGACTTTGTGAAACACTCCCCTGTTGTAACCTTGTAAGAATAAGAACCTACTTTGAGTTTGAAACAAGCAATGTGTGTAGTGTGAACGTCTTATAAGAATAAGAAATTTATACTCTTTTGCAGAAAACGTACTGTGAGTTTGATACAAGCAGTCAGATGCGTCCCAGACAGCTGGTATGGTGTGGTACCGGTGCTGTGGTAGGATACTGGGAGAACCTACTTCTGGTGATTGGACCACAGAAAGACTGGATCAAGTATCCTTTACACGATGCAATGGCTTTGTTTGGAATATGTTTACTATATATTATTGTTTTCCCTCAAGGACAGCAGCTTCTTGATTGAAGAGGCAACCTTGTTTAAATAAGAAAATGAAAATGAAAACAAAAATGAAAACAAATATTAAGAGCTTAATTCAGCTTAATTACTTGAATTAGTATACTTGTACCATAACTTTGTATCTGATTTGAAAGGAAATGTAAGAAAGCAAGAGCATTATGAAATTATGCCCAATTTAATGATTACAAAAAAAATATGGCTTGTAATACCCTATTCACACTGGTGAGACTGACAAAAACTGATCAAAACATTTCATTACACTGAATGGTAAAAAAACAGTTGGTGTGGAATAAGGTTGGACTTTCTTTGGAACGGTCACCAAGGTATACCGTAAATCTCTGTGTATAAGGCGCACTTTTTTTCCATCGGCAAAACTCAAAAAAGTCGGGGGTGCCTTATACACAGGTACAGGATATTTTGGGTCCTCAAAATGCTACTTTGAAGTGGTTTTCGAAAATCTCTGTGTCTCAACATGAATTACATAATGCAAATAAAGAATAGGATCTACTATTTGAAGTTAAAGTACGTTTCTAATTTGAAGGGAAGAGAGTTTTTTGTTTTTTTCAGTCTCGATAAATTATGCTCCTTCACAAAGCACTTTGCCGGCTTTGTATCATGCAGTACACTTACACGGGGGATTATGAATCACCACTCGAAAACTAGCCTATCCAAATTTCTGTTTGGACTTGGAGGAAAAGACAAAAAGCCACAAAAAAAGCCAATTTTTTTTTGTTGGCTTTTTTGTGTGGCTTTTTTTGGATATTTTTGCTTTTTGTTAACCAGATCAGATCGGCTCTCATTTCAGTGTTCGAAAATACTTTCATTTTATTACGAGGCACAGTTGAAGTGCTTGTGAACTAAGTCAGACCTAGTAATAATGTTGTTTTTCAAAACGAAAGATGACAGATTTTTTTTCTTTTTTTTTCTCCAGAATTTTGTTTTTGTTTTTGTGTGTGTCTTCAAAATAGGGGTGCGCCTTATACACAGAGATTTACGGTAAGAGCTTCATCAAGGTGGTTGTTTTTAAATTTACTATAAAAGAAACAATTAATCAGGGCAGTGTTGTAAAAGCAAAATGTAATTCTGCCAAATTGCCAGCTCTAGATTCATATCACAGGGACTAATGTCTAAATATGGCTTTGTGAAGTATGGAAACTATTTGATGAAACAAACTTACCAAGAAAACAATTAACATTTAACAAAATTTATCTTAACTACGTGTTGCCTAGATACAACATGGATACAGATGCAGTGCTCATACCAGAGAATGATAGTCTACACATCCTCCAGACCCACACACATGAGCTGCTTCAAAGGGTTCCAGGTATTATACTTTAAAAAAATTCTTTACCAGTATTTGTTTGTCTATCGTTTTATGTTTGTACATAAGGGCAATTTGAATTATAACTGTGAAAAGTCCTTGACAGAAATTTTTCTGACTTTTGGCTTCTTCCTTCTACATCCACGGAAAGCAGAATAAACAATGTCTTGCTGTAAACTTAAGTGCTGCCACTTGGACTTGAACTGAGAATATTTGGTCCAGAGTCTGACGACCTATTCACTTGACCACAGAACCAGTAACTTAAAAAAAAAAGTTATAAAGAACGGTATATTGAAACCTTGCAAGTAAAATGATTTTTTTCTTTTTGATGATACATTAATTTGTTTATTTGTTCCAGGTGTCGTTGAGGATATTTTCAAGATTGGTTCCATGGCTCCAGGTGCCATGCTCTATGAGGCTTGCAGGGAGTTTCAGGTAAGAAAATATTCTTGCATGCATGCATACCCTCATCACTCTTGTTACAGCCAACTGGACAATACAGGTTCTCTGACTTGACATTGGCCTTTAGATTGGGGAGCAGTTCTTGATTTATTGCTGTTGTTTCAAGTCTCCAACAAGGATGTTTAGATCTTCTCTATGAGCTGACCATGTACAAAATGCATCTAGTCTCTCTCTTGTAGTAGATAAGTCCCAGTGTCAATTTTAATTGTGTATGTGTGTTTTTTATAATATCACAAATGTGATCTGATATGGATCAAGGTCCAGAGTTCAAATGTTACTAATGAACATATTTGCATGGAAATCATGAAATCACTTACCATCTATATTCAACACAGCAAAATTCATAAAAGGAGATAAAAAAGGAAAAACCTGTTTTTTTTAATCATCCAAACAAAACTAGACGGACTGAACTATGAAAGAAAGTTTAAAAGGAAATTGAACACATCTATCCCATTTGAAAGTGTAACAAATGATAATATTTGTAAGAAAATGGTAATAGACTAATGCAAATTATGATAGAATAATTGTAATTAGTTAATTATACTAAAACTATTAATTAATTAGTAATTACATGTCACTAAAACTATAAAGAAAATTAGTGCCAATTTGATTCTGTTATCTTGCCTTGTAGAAAGAAAGTCAGAAAGCTGATGAGTACATCCGTATGATCAAAGATCAGTTGAGCTTAGCGGTTGAACAGTGTATAGAAGCAGCCGGGGCAGAGTATGAACCAAACTCACAAAAACTACTACTCAGGGTAAGTGTGGAATTCGGTTTACTTTTTTTACAATTTATGCACATTGTTTTATTGGGAAAAGTACAATGATATAAAGAGCAGTGGAACATTTTGGTTACAACTTCAAGATTGATGTGCTGATGTTTTCACTGCAAAGCATAGTAAACTTTGCTATGTAATGTTTAAAAAATGTAGTTTAAGGATCTTATTTATATGAAAGCCTATAATACAGTGAAGCCTGGACATACAGATCGCTCAATGGAAACATGAACAAAACAATACAGGTTCATTTAGTACAAGTTTCAATGATAAACCATACTCAAGGAAAACACAGAATGTGGTCTTTATAGACAGGTGAGCTCTCTATACATGTGGTTGTTAAAGCAGATTTGACTGTACCAATGCAAATTTAAATGTTTAAAATAGAAAAGGGTATAAGTACTACTATAGTATGATACTGTTAAAAATACTGGTAAAATGATGTCTTTGATATCTTCTTCAGCTTGCATTGGATTCTTCCTTTTGTAATGGTTATATATTATTACCAGTGCGGTTATAATTAAGAAACATAATCTTTACATTCCCACTTAAAGGTACTATGTCCCATTTGCAGGCCAAAAAAATGAAAATGTTTAATTCCAACAGCATTTGATAGATAATACTATTTTGGAACTTCCCTAAAAAAAGGGGGGCTTGAAAATGTATTTCGGTGTGAAAATAACGACTATCGGTATTAGTTGTTGAATCGACTTAAGAGCTATAGACTATGGCTCCCTTTTAATTTATGCTTTATTATTTATTGTTTTACTTTTAATAGTCTTTAAAACTATAACTTTACTTGTGATCATTAGACCTATGAAAACTGGTATTACTAAAGGTTAAAGATATAAACAAATCTCAAATCATGTTTCTACGTATGTGACTATGTTTACATTCTTTACCATACAGGCGGCATCATTTGGCAAGTGCTTTGGGACTAATGTGAACGCAGACAAGTTTGTGAACATGTGCAAGCTACTGAGAGTGCTGAATGCAGTCAGAGATTATCAGATAGGAATTCCGCTCACATATGACCAGTATCCTTTTGAAACATTCCTTTGCTATTGATGTGATTTGATTTGATGTGATGTTTATGTCAGTATTTAGGTAGCATAAGGTGAAATGCAACATATCTATCAACTTAAAAGCTGAAATGATAGCCAACATCCATAAAGTGGATTTAATGAGTCGGTTAATGACATTGAAAGTAATTTTATTCTGCGTTTTCATTTGGTAATCTTCCTTGATAATTTCTATCACAGACTCAAGAAGTTGACATTGACTGTACTCATGGACAGGTAAGAATTGGAATACTCTCCTGATTCCATTTCAAAATCGAATTTGAATTTGAATATTTATTTTCCCTCAAGAAATTTTTTAATCATGCATGTGCCCTAAATATAGTTATTGCAAATACGTATTTATGCAACCTTGTATGGAAAAAAAAAAATTCTGTCATAAATATATATTTGATACAGAAAACTTAATATCCAGGTGGACTTCCCCTTTAACTCAATGTTAATGCCCTTCTAGCTTTCAACAGATAATGCTGTCATTACTATCATATGTACTAAGGAGAGAAATAAACAAACATTACTTTTAAAAGTAAATGATACAGCTGCAAATATTTTGTAAACTTTTCTTTCAATATCTTAATATCTAAATTGACAGTTTTATGTTTTCTAGAATACAACATGAATTTCAAAGTCCTTTTTTAAAAATTCTGTTGGTACAAATATTGTTCAAGTAACACTTACCATATAAAATTAGAATACTTTCATTTCATTTCATTCTTGTCCCTACCCTTTTTGTCAAACCACAGATTAATCTTGAGAAGACAGTGGGCATTGGCACAGCAGATCAGTCAGTACCTCAAGCTGCCAGAATCAGAGGGTGAAAGCAGGATACTAGGCCACTGGGCTTGTTACAAGGTATGTTAAAGGGAGATAGTCGTAAGTTTTCATGTGGGTCATAATTTGCTGATCAGCAGACTTGATGGAAATACCGTTAATGGGTGTACAAGTCTCGCACACAGCAAACCGGTAGTTCCATCAACAACAAAAAACAGTCTCTCAAAGAGTCTTGTAAGATAGTGACTTTTCCATATGGGGCAATTGGTGGAAAATACAGAGCACTACATAAGGCCTGTTTACTATTTTGGTTTGTGTATTACTCTACCCTAATGAAGTTGATGAGTTTAGTATTCAAATTGCAAATTGTGAAATCATGTCATGACTTTGGACAATCATTGTTTTAATGTGTTGTCAATCATTGTTAGTGATTTCATAATCCATTATGATTACAGGTTGAACAAAAACACATTCCAGATGAGCTGATAGCTCAGAGCATCAAGGAAAAGCTTGGTGATACGCCAGGCATAGCCTACTCAGAGATTGCCAAGAAAGCCTCAGAGTGTGGAAGAACACAGCTGGCTGTCAAGGTAATTACAAACTAACATTAATCTTGCATGTTTACTATACCCAGTATTTCATTATGTGTTACTCATTTGTAAAATGATGATCTTAATGGCCATGACATTGAGTTGGTCTCTATTTTGTGTGTGAATTATCAGAAGAAAGACATCACCATCATCACCATCATCATCATCATTATCAATTGAAGCCTTCATTTCACTTCTTCACCGTTCATTAGTAATCTGACCTGTTGAAGTCTTAGCCCAAGATTATTTCAGTAGAAACCCTCTTTAAAAGATGTTTAACATTGAAATAAAAATGTATTTAATATGTAAATACACTTTGCAGTTACTTTTACATAAATAGCAGGAAAAGTGAGATTTGGTCTCTATTTTGTGTGTGTATTATCAGAAGAAATCATCATCATCATCATCATCATCATCATCATCATCACCATCCTCATCATCATAATCATTATATTATGAATTCAAGCCTAGTTATAACTTCTTCACGGTTCATAAGGAATTTGACCCATTGGAAGTTTTACCCCAAGATCATTTTGAATGAAACCCTTTTATAAGATGGTTAACATTGAAACAAAACTGTCTCCCATATGTAAATACCTTTGGCAGTTACAGTCACATAAATAGCAGAAACCGTGAGATTTGTGTCTTATTCAATAGAAATTTATTCCTATTATTTTGTTTAGTTGTTGGAGTATGAGCCTAGAGCAGCGGAGCAGGTCCCTCTGTTGATGACAATGAGAGATAGCAGGACATCCCTTAGAAAAGCTATCGAAAGTGGAGACACTGACCTAGGTAGGCTTTTCTTAACTTACAATGGACTTTGTATGAGATAGCTGACTGGTCTGTGTGTGTCTGTGTGTCTGTGGTGCATGGGCGTGTGTGTTTTTGTCTACGTGTAGCTGATGATAAATCTTTGTTTTGCAAGGAATCGTTATTGAGAGAGAAATATAATTTATTTGAGCAGCTACCCGGTAACTAGAATAGCTGAAGACAGGAAGTCATAGAGAACCTGTGTCTCAAAGTCCATTCTATGACCATGTTTATATATATCAAATCTGCATATTACATAACTTACCAGTAGGAAGCAATATTCTTTCTATTGCATTATTATACTGAATTAGCTCATGTATATATTTCTGTCTTCAAGTAATATTATCCCTGATGATCATGTACCAAATCCTCATTCTTTAGTTGGAAACATTTATCCCACGAAAAGGTGATTAGATGAATTAGATGTGCATTCTATTGTAATTTCCCTGGTGTATAGTCATTATATATGTTTATTTTTTTTAGCATCAGTCAGATGTGTTTGTGTATATTCCAACATGGTTCTCAATTCATCATGTATTTACTTGTTTGTATATATGTATATATGTAAGGAGTGCCACTTCTAATCTAAAACTGCCAGAAATATTATTTCTGTGATTTTTGTTTTCCCCCATTCTTAATTCTGTTGTTAATGTTGTTGATCCATTCAGTGTACATGGTGCTGCTACAGTTGAAAGAGGATCTCCCTCGAGGTGAATTCTTGATGATGCTGAGAAACCATCCACAGGCACAGGACCTTTTCTTGCAGGTAGATAATATTAATAATATTCGATTCTTGTATAGCGCATATCACATAATACAACGTCTCTATGCACTTCCAAAGAGCTTTGGAAATTATTACCTTAGCTTTAGCTCCGGCAGCCGTAATCAGCGCACAGTGCATTTCAAGGAATAATCCTACCAGGTACCCATTTACCTCACCTGGGTTGAGTGTGGCAAATGTAGATTAAGATCTTGCCAAAGGACATTAGTGACGCGGCGGGACTCGAACTGTGGACCTTTAACTCTGTTGTAGGCAACATTATCTCAAAGTTGTTCATCCTCATTTACTTGCATTCAAACATGCTATGCTTTCAAAATGACCCATAAATATCTGAATGGTTAAATGCTTTATCTTTATTATCTCATAAATGATTGTGCTCATTGTTTATTTCTCATAAATGATCATGCTTTATATGAATTTATTTTCATGTTAGCTGTGTCGAGAGCAACATCCGAACCTCCTGCTAGATCTGTACAACCAGAATGATAACTTCCAAGAGTTAGCCAACACTGCTGTTAGGGATAGTCTCACTGAGAAGGTAAATAGGAGGTCATGTCTTGTGACCTTTGAGTAGTGTATCTGGTTAGAGGAAAGGTTCAGTGAATGGAATACATTTTCAAATGATCTTTGCTTTATATGAAACATGAATCTGACTTCTGACCTGTGCTTATGAAACATGAATTTGACTTCTGAACTTTGCGTACTAAACTTTGACCTTTTTGAGTATGAAACATAAATTTGACACCTGACCTTTGCATACCAAATTCTGACCTTTACTTTTGAGACATGTTTTTGACTTCTGACCTTTGCATACTAAACTCTGACTTTTGTGTATGAAAGATGAATTTGACTTCTGACCTTTGCATACTTAACTCTGACCTTTGCGTATGAAACACAAATTTGATTTCTGAATGTAAAATTGATTCCTTCTAAGTTGGGATTGAAAAGGATTCAATAGAAAGATACGAATGAAAAGGAAACAACATATAAATACTACCATTGTCTTACATATTTCAAGCATATCCATCTGTCATTCTTTTTAAGGATGCAGTTAATATCAAATGTGCCCCAAACTATCACATCTCTTGTGCCAATTATGGCAGTAAATATTTGACATTGGTGGTCATCTAACTTGAGGCTTACATTTAGGTTTTGTCAGATGGAATGTCAAGTTAATATTGCTATAAGTTCTTTGTTTATTGAATATATTTTTACTCTTTATTTTTTCTTCATTTTTATAACATTCAGAATTTGCAGAAGAGGTTAGATCAGCTGAATGCAGCACAAGACAACTATAAGAAAGCGGCCAATGAATTCTCTATGAAGGTAATATAGATTACCAAGTGGTAAATCATCAGTAGTTGATTACATCCCTGCCCTGCTGAACAAATTTCTATGATGATACAATTTGTTTGATAAAGAAATGCATTGCATTGTATTTTTTTTTTAAACAACCAGTTGATGTTTAATGATGGTTAATTTCTAATGCCGTAATCCTTTCTATCAGATTTTACAAAATGATGGAATTCTCCACTGTTTTGTATGTTAGTATATTTTTAAAATAATGAAATTGGATAGGCTGGTCCCTTTTTGTCTGCAAATGTTTTTTCAGTGCACATACATTTTTAAGTTGATTTTCATATTTTTAGAGGGTGCATTATCAGTAAGTCATCTCAGAGCCAGATGGATGTACACTCTCATCACTGTACATAGAACCATTACCCATATCTCTTTCTATCCTCATCACTTAGAAAAAATGGCGATTTTGGGCTCTACAATGTACCACCATCTTTTGAAATCAAAGCTCTGCTGTCAAAACTACCTCCGGGGAATATGATGATCAACTTTATATATTTTCACGGTAGAGGTTTACGGTACACCATGTGTAAAGTCCTAGAAGGACTAAGGAAAGTGGATAGAAAATAGAAGTGAAAATAGAAAGGCGAGAAAGTGGAGATTGGAAGGAAGAGTATCTTTCAGAAGTGAGTATAGTCCTGAAAAGGACTGTAAACCAGAAAGTTGTAGATAGGATGAGAGGTTTGAGTAGAAGACTGGATTGAGTTGAAGAGTTGAGTAGAGTTGCAGAGCAGGAGCAGGAGAGTAGACTCGACGTTTCGGACAGGTTGTCCTCACCGCCGATCGATACACCCACTCATCAGCCGACACACCGCCCGCTACTCCGCCGCCACCAACCACACGACGTCCGCATAACCGCCGCCCACTCGTTTCCCGCCAATTCACGCAACCGAGCGCCACCACCGACAGCTACCTGCCAACCCGCCGAGCCCGCCGGCCCAGTGCTTTCCCCCAAGTCCGCACTCACGCCATTATAAGGACCGCCGCACGCATAGCGAACACTCACTCCTGAAGACGGACAGTCAACCTGTCCGAAACGTCGAGTCTACTCTCCTGCTCCTGCTCTGCAACTCTACTCAACTCTTCAACTCAATCCAGTCTTCTACTCAAACCTCTCATCCTATCTACAACTTTCTGGTTTACAGTCCTTTTCAGGACTATACTCACTTCTGAAAGATACTCTTCCTTCCAATCTCCACTTTCTCGCCTTTCTATTTTCACTTCTATTTTCTATCCACTTTCCTTAGTCCTTCTAGGACTTTACACATGGTGTACCGTAAACCTCTACCGTGATTATTCATACCACCATGCAAACCTTCAAACATCATCTTTATATATTTTGTTCTGATAATTATCCTAGGCAACAGAGGAAGAGATCAAGTTGCTAGGTTACCAGCAGAGGATGCAGGAGCAGTACAAGGAGCAGTTCCTCTATCTCTCCCTCCATGACACCGTCCATAAACTGGTCGCCAAGAACCTGGGCAAGATGGCCGAGCAACTCCGCAAAGAATTCAAATTCCCAGACAAGAGGTGGGTGAAAGGCTTGCCATTTCAGTGGAATATATCTCAAACCCACCCCTCACTCAAACAAAATTCCAAAATTCCAGTCCCGACAACTACCCCCCCCCCTCCTCCCCCACGCCCCTCAGCCGTGGACAACTACCCTTGTAGTACAAATACCTCTATATGACAACACCCTCAATTACCCAACGTAGCGTTAGAAAAGCTATGGAAGTAATTGTTCTAGGATAGTTCTCCGTTTGATGGCTTGTCTTTAGAATAATTTTCTGGAGGTAGTTTTTTTGGGGGGAGGAAAGTACAGGGGCTGTTTGTTCTAAAATCAATTCAGCTTTCTGACAAGTATTTAGAGATGACCCTGCTATAATAATACACCTAAATATTGATTTACAGTTAGATGATTTTCATCCTATAAGGAGTATTATAAAAATTCAAATTGGTTGTAAGTCAAAGTTAATATATGTCACCGAAGGTGGTGCCAGAGGCCTTATTGCACATGTGGCTGAAAGTTGAAGTCATTGTTAAGACATTCAACAACAAAGAACCTGATGTTCGAGTTATACTTCTCACTCTCTGAAGGATTGTCAACCATCTTATGCCATTCTCCGCTTTAAAATTGAAAAGGAAATTGAAATACTATAAATAGATCATGTTGTTTGTGAATGCTGTTCCATAGATTCTGGTGGTTGAAGATCGATGCCTTGGCTGGAGCAGGAGAATGGATAGAACTTGAAAGGTTTGCCAAGAGCAAGAAATCACCCATTGGATATGAGGTAAGGCTTGTAGTATTCAATATTTCATTCAGTCATTCATATTAAATATGTTTTGAATAAAGTTATTAAGTTATTGAAATTTTCTCTCCATCTTTGTTTATGTGTCTGTTTCTATTTACTGTATGATACCTTTCAGAAGTAATCACTCACATCATAAACATTGAAATATTTTACTTGAACTTTTTAAGCAGCACTTGAAACAAAAGAGCAGATATTCTATCTTATGACTGCAGGCACAATTCATTCTAAATCGGATAAATCTATGTGAATTGTGAATAATGACTGTGATATATTGACTTTCTATATGTAAAGGGCGATTCCATATATGTCGTACGGGATATTCAGACAACATTTTCTAGCCTGATGAGTTTGGATTTTTCTTGAAAATCAGTATATTTCTGATCACTGATGACCAATATTCTATGGGTTTTCTTTCCTTTCTAGCCATTCGTGGAGTTGTGTATGAAACATCACAACAAGTATGAAGCCAACAAGTATGCTGCTAAGGTTGCTCCTGAACACAGGGTCAAGATGTACATCAGAATGGGGTAAGTCATCAACATCTACAACAGTCATTCTTCAAAATTACTTTCTCCCCCCCCCCCCTCCCTCTGTAATGTTTCAGGAATTAATGCATGAGTTGGGGAGTAAACAACTCCAATTGGCTGCATATCACCCACAGTCCCAAGGTGTGTCGGAACATCATCACCAGACCCTAAAGGTCATGCGTAGGGCTAATTGTGAAGAGTATCCTGAAGATTGTGATAAAGGGATTTCATTCTTGCTGTTAGCAACCAGGGATTCCCCAAATGAGTCAACTGGTCTCAGCCCATTTGAACTAGTCTATGGTCAAGAGTTTTGGGGTCCTCTCAAGCTGATCAAGGAGATGCTTATGGCTCAAGATGATGAGGTCAATTTTTTGGCTATGTCTTAATGTTTCAGGAAAGGCTGACAAAATTTTTGGAAGTAGCTAGGATTTACTTGAAAGTGTCACAAGAGAAAATGAAAACATGGGCACACAGAAGTGCGAAAGAACCAGGCTTTAAGCCTAGGGACAAGTTGGTGTTAGGTGCCTTAGCTAGGTGAACCCTAGGAATTTGAGTTTAGTTCTTTAAAATTACTTTCTCCCTCTCCCTCTATGAGGTTCTCTCCCCTTGTTGGGATTCATTACTTGATAGCCAACTATTCAAGACGCCACTGGTTGCAGTTGTAAGAGAGAAAAAAGACTACCACTTTAGCTATAATGACACTTTCGTTTATAAATGCAGAGAGATCTTTGATACTGAGCTAACTTTATGAAGTTAATAGAGGCATAAATAGTTCAGAATTTGAAATGGCATGTCAAGATGCTAAATGGTGCCAACTTTTATATAAGAGCAAACATGACCCAATGTGTAAATACATTCTTTATCTATCATCTAATTAGGTTATCTGATAATTATGAACAAATGCCTGAACAGATTGTAATCGATATTCATATTACTGAGATATGCCATGCGCCTAGAGGTCTGTGAAATGTCACAAAGAATGTAGAATATCACTAGTTGAGCATTGTGAAGTACACATGTCCATACACCTTTCTGTGGATGAATGTACTTTTATGTATGCGGATATAACGTACCAAGCACATTATTTCTGACCTCTGACCTTGAACAGAACCCTAGATGAAGCCGCTGAGCTCGCATTCCAACAGAAGAGTGAGGAGGATCTCAATCTGGTTCTCAGACAATGTGCCGGTAACAGACAACTCTCGGCTAAGATCAACACCATGAAGCAACAACTAGGCAAGAAATAGAATCCATCAGACTCCTGAGAGAGATGCAAGGACTTTCCAACACGAAGTATGGTTTCCATGGTCGCAAACAGAGTGCAATACCAGTGTGCATCACATAGTGAATTGAGAAATTTTACACCATCCTTTTACCTTATTTTATCGTGCAGTCGAATGGGTTGTATACAATTTATATTACCTATGAGGAGAGAATTCCATGGTTTTTTTTTCTTTCAAGTTGAGATGATGTTGAATAGATTATTGATTTATCGGATGGAGTGGAACTCTTATTTATACTAAACATCCAAGACCTTATTTAGTTCAGAGTTGAACTGCAGCAGCATTATAATACACAAACCCAACCTGTCTTGTTTTACTCCACTAGGAGTGTTGAGTTGTGATCAAAATCTTGATCCAGGGTGTTAAAGACACTTAGTAGTAGGCTCTCATGGGTAGTCCGACACCATTCGGGTGCTGTTATGACCAACAGGCCTTGTGTAGTGCTCTGCATTTTCCACCCTTCCCTCTTTCGTTAAAGTCATAATCTTACATTTCCCTCGCCCAAAGGCTCTCTGAGAGATTATGGGGGGGGGGGATTTTGATGGGACTACGGGTTTGCTGTGTGCGAAACTTGTACACCCATTAATGGTATTTCCACCGAGTCTGGTGTCAGAGATTTATGACCTTCTGCACGTGGAAACTGAAGACAGGAAAGGTTGGAATCATCAGTTTTCCTCATGTGTGAGAGATGATGTTAAAGTTTGAATCATAAGAGAGTATCCAAGATACTAAAGATGAGAGAATGTGATGGTAATGATGATGATCATCATCATGGAAAATGTAGTGATAGTGATGTTAGTGATGATGTTGGTGATAGGATGAAAAGGAGGAAGATGTTGGTGACGTTGGTGATGATTGTGATAATGATGTTGATAATACGAATGATAGTGGTACTGCTGGTAGTCGTGATGATGATGATGATGGCAATGATGATTAAGAAGATGGTGACAGTGATTCTGATTATCTTTTTCTGTTGAGCTTCACAACCTATCACCCAGTGGATGTTTGTGGCACTTTCTCCAGACAATGGTAATGAGAATGATATGAGAAATGACACAAAACAGAGCACAAATCAGAAATTGGATGAAGGTGGACCAAGAAAAACCCATTTCCCTTAGATTTACAATCCAAATAAAAACCCAAAGATATGAGAAGAATGTAGATGAGAGAGAAATCAAATGAAATTCATCTATGACCTTATATTATTTGTAGTTTATATTTCCCATAGAACCTATTTTTATGCCTCCGTTACGAAGTAGCCGGAGGCATTATGTTTTCAGGTTGTCCGTCCGTCCGTCTGTACGTACGTCTGTACGTACGTCTGTACGTACGTACGTCTGTACGTACGTACGTACGTCCCGTTCTCGTGATCGGGTTATCTGAAGAACCGATTGATGGATTCCTGCCAAACTTTGGTCATGTATGTATCTTGCAGAGCCGATGAACTGATTAGATTTTGGGGTTACGATGTCAAAGGTCAAAGGTCACAGGGCTCATTATGTATGCAAAAACAGCTCGTGATCGCGTTATCTGAAGAACCGATTGATGGATTCCTGCCAAACTTTGGTCATGTATGTATCTTGCAGAGTCAAAGAACTGATTAGATTTTGGGGTCATGAGGTTAAAGGTCAAAGGTCACATGGCTCATTATGTATGCAAAAACAGCTCGTGATCGCGTTATCTCAAGAACCGAGTAATGGATTGCTGCCAAACTTAGGTCATGTATGTTACTTGCAGAACCGATGAAGTGATTAGATTTTGGGGTCACGAGGTCAAAGGTCAAAGGCTACAGCGCACATTATGTATGCAAAAACAGCTCGTGATTGCGTTATCTCAAGAACCGATTGATGGATTGCTGCTAAACTTAGGTCATGTATGTTACTTGCAGAGCAGATGAACTGATTAGATTTTGGGGTCATGAGGTCAAAGGTCAAAGGCCACAACGCACATTATGTATGCAAAAACAGCTCGTGATCGCGTTCTCAAGAACCGATTGATGGATTCCTGCCAAAATTAGGTCATGTATGTTACTTGCAGAGCCAATGAACTGAGTAGATTTTTGGTTCATAAGATCAAAGGTCAAAGGTCATGGGCTCATTATGTATGCAAAAATAGCTTGTGAACACATTCTCATTAGAACTGACAGATGGATTACTATTTAACTCAGGACATCTTGCAGAGCCAATGAACTGAGTAGATTTTAGGGTCATGAGGTCAAAGATCAAAGGGTCATATATGTATATGAGAAATTGCTTGTAATCACGATATTCTGAGAACCTGTTAATGGATTACAATTGAACTTGAATTCGAAAAATGTCTTCTGTTTTGGTTTGTAAAATTGCTCTATGACGGAGGCATCATTTTCGACTGCGCGCAGTCGAATTCCATCTAGTTTTGTATTGATGTTACTAATCTTGCCATAATATTTCCTTTACATCTATTGGACCCCTTGCATTTAAGAATTGTGTTCGATACAACTTCAAAAGGTATGAGATTCAACTCTATGTATGTCTCCATGGAACAACTTTGAATGACCATTCCACATAATGCAAAATTATGAATAGAGTGTCATGAGAATGAATTGAATGCATAATGTGGCCAATCAGTTATCAAAATCAAGAGCTGATGTAAAAGTTTTTCCAGATTTAATTTTGTGTTTTGTAAATGTCATCCCAAATAAAAATTTCATGAGAAACACATCATGAAATGCAGAATTTCATTGTACTGCAATCTCAACAGAATTCTTGGTGGATTATTTTTTTAATTTTTTTAACCAACCTCTGAACTTATAACTTCAATATCGATGTATATTTTTTATCAAATAAAGAAATAGTGATAATCATTTTCATATTGCAAGTACAAAACTGATGGACTATAAGTTCATGTAATTGAATATAACTCTGATACAAGTAGCATAATAAGTTGTTTTGTTTTGCATAAAAGACTAACCTGACATGCATTATCTGACAATTCTTTGACTAATACTTCAAATAAAAACATCCTTCATTATTTTTGTAAATGTTTCAAGTACAGTATGTATCAGATGAAAGTAGATGCATGGTGGGTTTTTGTCTTCATCAAAGAACAAAGGTTGAATGACCATGTCTGTGGTGACCACAGTAAAAACCTCTAAAATTTCTTTGTATAGTTCTGAAACAATATTGTGTTTTATGTTGCATCTCTCTTATCTAGCTAACCTTGTAAGTAAAAAAAAAACAACATATCAACACTGCATTATACAGTGTGCAAATATAATGAAATGTATGCCTTTGAGCGCATTAATGATGTATTATATTATTTCTATGACATTATGTAATAAAAGAAATGTATGAAATATATATGTGAATCTTACCCTGCTTTACTATTGAGATTGAAGCTTTTAAGTACCAGACGAGAAAACAAGATGGTAAGATAGAGAGAATGACAGAGACAAAGAAGGTGAAAAGGGGAGAAAGAGGAGGAGGAGGAGGAGAGAGAGAGAGAGAGAGAGAGAGAGAGAGAGAGAAAGAGAGAGAGAGAGAGAGAGAAGAAAGAAATAGAGAAGGAGAAGTGGTTGTGTTGATGGAGGAAATGAAGAAGAAAATATTGAGTTTGAAATGTGAAAGAAAATGTTGTGTAATCCAAGCCAGGTTACTTCACATTTTTCATCTTTTGGTTACTGTTTTGAATTTAAAGGGGAAGTCCACCCTGATATTAAGTTGGTCTGAATATAAGCAGAAAAATGAGGAACAGGTCATTGAAAGTCATAGCACATTCTGATTAAAAATAGGAAAGTTATACATTTTTGAAGTTGCGATCAATCAAACACAAATTGGCAATTCTGTGACGTATCTTGCGAGCTCCCCTCCCATTTGCTGTGTTCTCTAATAATCAGATTTTTAATATTCCCCTCGAAAATATTTCCGATCATACATGCACCCTAATGATTATTGCAAATATTCAACCCCTTTATCATAATAAAATCTATTCCGTCACCAATAACGAAGAAGAAAAAAGTTTATGAAATTCATGTATGGATAATTCTCTTGCTGTATATACGGACTTTTAATGCTTATAATTAATGGACACTTAGACACGTCCAAACTCCTGTGTAGGACGTGTAGATTAGTATAGTGTGTTATATATTTGTCACAATATATACTGAGGAGGTCGATAATTCATGACGTCAAAGTACGTGACTTTGACCGCTCCCGACCCGTTACTGTATATTGCAATCGATATCAACAAGGATTATAGCCTGCAAAACAAAGAGATCGAAAGTGTTATTTCTGAACTTCTAAATTTCTCTAAGAAAGTAAATGTCATTGACATTCCAAGAACACTAATCGGATTAGTAATATTCTCTTGTTTTGCTTGATTGGTAAATTGATTTTGTTGCTTGCTAGCCCACTTTAGCTTACAGTTGACAAACACTAGTTTCAAACAAACAACATGCATCTTATTCACCGTTCTTATATATCCAACGATCGGGTTGTAAACAAGTAGGCTCTAATTAATGCAACCATTCAACTATGTTTGAGTTCAACTCTTACTTTCCGAACGAAAGGTGGTCTTAATAACCTCTGAAGTTTGTTTGTTTGTTTGATTTACCTGAGAGTTTTCGCCTTTTTTATTGTCTTAATTTGTTTTGTTTTCGTATTCGTCTTGTCCAACGTACCAACAATTCGACTGAAACAAAAAATTCAGTCTTTTAAGCGGCAGAATACGATATTCACCAGCAAGGAAAGGGAATTCATTGATTTCGGGTTTATTACAAAATTACTTAATTAGCATTACATATGGTCCGTATTGCTCTATTTGCTGATTGATGTAATTGCCCCAAGCTCTGAACCGATGATAAGAGCAGTGGCGAATCATGGGCCTATCAGGTAGTGGGAGGGGAGGGGGGGGGGTCCAGTCTTATTAGGTTGATATTAAATTTACAAGGCCATCGGCATTGATAAGGGATAAAGGTGGATTCTACACTATTTTTTAAACATTTCTTTAACTCCTTATCATTTCATTCTCTCTCTCCTTTCCATATTTTTCCGTCTATCTCTCCTTTTCATATTTTTTCTTTTGTTTCTCCTTTTCATATTTTTTCTTCTTTCTTTACTTTTTTTTTATATAGTTTTATCCTTTTTGTATTTATTTTCTTCTTCTTATTCTCTCTTGTTTTAATTTTTTCCTCTCTCTCTCTCTCTCTCTCTCTCTCTCTATCCCTCTCCCATTATCTGTTTTTTCGTTCCGCAATTTGAGGCTGGTAAGTGCCCCATGCTCCATTTATCTACGAAACCAAGAGTGAGAGCTTAATTGTAGAGATAGCAAACATTGAGATGTGAAATGTGACTGTCCACTGCTACTCTCATGCTTTTTCGCAAGTAGTCGTAGACAGTCAGCAAACACCATCCCTCTACTCACGTCGCAATCAGTTTCACTCTCTTTACCACTGTCTTCATGCCTTGCGAGACGATGGCAAGTGGTGTGGTGTATTTATCCAAGGGTTCTTGGTCAATAGATACAAGGTAGCATCGTGGCAACGTCATTACGTACGATGGGTGTCATCACAAAGCCAGTTTGCTCATTTTTGTTTGATCTGTTCTCATATAGTTATTCTTCCACTCTTTTCATCTTTAACATCTTCTTCTGTTTTTTCTTTTAAAAGAAATTAGTTATTCATTGCTTTTTTGTCATCTTATTTACTCCTTCTCGTTTCCTCCTCCACCTCCTCCTCTTCATTCTCCTCCTTCTTCTTCTTCTTCTTCTTCTTCTTCTTCTTCTTCTTCTTCTTCTTCTTCTTCTTGTTCTTCTTCTTCTTCTTCATCTTCTTCTCTTCGTTCTTCTAGGTCTCATCTTCTTTTAATCTCTTTTTCCTTTCTTCATTCTTCAACTTTTCTCTTTTCCTGTTTTTCTTTATCGTCATCATATCTCCTTTTCTTCCTCCTCCCGTTTGCCCTTTACCCCTTTCTTGTTGTTAGTGTTCCTGTCCCCCTCCTTCTCTTCTCCTGCTCCTTCTATTCTTTCTCTCCCTCTTCTTGTTGTTGTTGTTGTTGTTGTTGTTGTTGTTGTTGTTGTTGTTCTTCTTCTTCTTCTTGTTCTTCTTCCACTCCCTCTTCTCC